CATTTGAGTCCGCCGCAATGATGTTTTGGGTGGCGTTCTCGCTTTCGAGTTCCTTGTTCGTCTCTGCCAGCTGACATACAAAGCTCTCTTGGATTTTGAGCTCTCGCCGTGTCTCTTCGATCTCTTCGTGCATTGCAGCGATTTGATTGACGTAGTCGGATTGTGCGTCACTGGCCTTTTGCCTTGATGCGGCAAGTTCGCGAGTCACGTCGTCGAACTCCCGATCCCTCAGCGTGGCGCGGTCATGTAATGCATTTCCTTGATGAGCTCGATCTCTTGCGATCTTGATCTCCTCGTTCATCTTTGCATCACGTTCCTGCACTGCACGTTGTCCGATTAGATACATCTCATCCCGCTCGCTCACGGCAACCCGCGCGCAATGGGCTTCTTGTTCGGCGTATCTGATAGCATCATTTGCTTTGCTCACCAATGCATCTTGTGGCTCGTCATCAATCGCCATTGTTGGCTGCGGCAACAATGCTGTTTCCAATCTCTCACGCAAACCACGAATAGTGTTCTCCTCGTCCTGCGAGTCCGTAGTGATCGTCACCTCATAGCAGTTCATCATCAATTGATACTGTGCGATTTCGGAAGAAGCACTTCTCCTCTCTTGTTCAGCCTTGTTCTTGCTAACCAAAGATTTTTCCTCCGCACATCTGATTCGATGTTCAAGCAGATTAACGGTTGCGGCCATCTCTTGGTGTCGCTTCTCGTACTCGAGGACCTTAAGTCGGGCTTCATCTTGATACTCTCCGTAGATCTTCACGAGATGTTGTGCCTGATCTTCGGACAGTTTTGTCTTCCCACGTTGAATGTCAATGTGTTGAGCAGCTTCTCGAAGTTGTTCGTCGGATCTTTTGAGGATATGGGCGACTTGTTGTTCCAACATACCAGCTCTCCGTTCCAGTTCCTGGATGCGCGTGACATTGCCATGGTCGTCACGTTCATATGACTCCTGAAGCATAGCCAAATTGCGCGTAGCCTCTTCCACTTCCTGTCTGAGGGGCCTGCAGGTGACTTTGATCGCCCTTCTTCTTTTCTCGCAGGACTCATGACGCCCTTCTTCTCGGTGTCGATAATGAAGCTGATGACGATCTCTTCTTTTCTCCGTCCCTGGACCACACAGCATGACCAACTTCTTTCCAGGATGAATGTGATTGGTCGTGGCTAGTACCAGAACTTGCACTTTGTTGAGTGTCCGGAGAGTCCGCGATTGCCGGCACGGCAAGCATACCTGTGGAACCGCTGGAACTGTCATTTCCAAAGGTTGCAGTTCCTGGGCTTCCGGAAGAATCCATTGTACGGCTGTAAATATGATTTCAAAAGTTGTGTCGCACCGCAGTTGAAGCTGGGACCAATTGTAAGCTTACGGCTGATAACCTGCCAGGAGCGAGCCAACCACGTAGTCAATGACAAGGGAGTTGGGGTTCGAATCCCGTGGAGTGACCAATACCCTCGACAAGGGGGTTGTAAGGTAAATGATCTGCGCTGTCTCAGGACTCGATGCGACGGCGGAATACGGACCTTTTGCTTTGCTTCACAGCTGTATGTTGGATGTTTGCCTCGAATGGATTATCAAGGTCTTGAGCCAAATGCATTCGCATGTACATGTCGGCTGCACTCAAACAACATTTCCCCAAAGGTTTGAGGGACCTTAAAAGAGGGGAAAGAACAGGGTGACCCTCAGAACCTGCCCTTAGGATGTTTTAGCCTGCGGCTCGGAGATTCTTAGCAGTTGTGATTGCTCTGACGGTCTCAACATGATGCGTCTTGCAGTCCAAGGCACGCTCTCGTCTTGTACTTCCATTCATCAAACGCGTTTCCTCCTGTGAACCGTGGTGGTGCTATCTTGTACTTGTGTAATTATTCCGTCCAGCTGCTGCTGATGTTGCAGTCGTTGTTGAGCTGCCATTCCTTGCGCGGTATGGAAAGGCCGCCAGATCTTTCCCAGGTGTGTTTCTGTGTTCACTGCTCTGCTACCATGTTTAACTTGGACATCTCGGAGGACCCCGCATCCGCTGCCTACACATCCCCAGTCCTTGAGCCTACAGCCCGCCCGTACAAAAGGAGTGCTACACTGCCGGTTTGATACACTCACAGGTTTACACTTCAGGTAAACCGATATGATACACTTTGCAAATAGGATTTACTTCAAATAGCATTGGACTGTTGCAACTCTCTGGGGCCCGCAGCATTTCGCGCATCCCGGCGTAGCCAAAGTTGAAGTGGGACAAAAAACTGTCATCTGCAACGGAATCACACTCGCCTCGCTGAATCCACCGTTATTCAGCGCGTTTTGCCGTTAACTGCATCCGTGCATCCGCGACGTGACACATGGGCCGAGGCGCGCCCGCTCAAGCGCACGCGCTCAGAACTGTTTCCACGCGTGCGAAGTGATGAGCACACCCGCTCAAGCGCACCTGCTTAGAACTGTATCCACGCATGCCAAACGCTAAGCACGCCCCAAGTCCACCCGCTTAGAACTGTATCCACACGTGCCAAACGATAAGCACACCCGCTCAAGCGCACCCGAAAAGAACTGTATCCGCGCATGCCAAACGCTAAGCGCACCAGCTCAAGCGCACCCGCTGAGAACTGTATGCGCGCGTGCCAAATGGTAAGCACGCCCGCCATAGTAAGGATGTCATCTTCCAAATCTGTTTCGTGCCCAAATAGAATTTAGAAGAAGCAATCCTTCCCAACTAGGAGTTAAACTTCGGGTAAGATTGATTTAACCTTGAACAACACATGTTAAAAATAATTTCTTCCCCAGTATGTTTTACGTTTCAAGTTTAATATAATGCGATCATGTTTCAAATGGCTTTCGCTAATAATAGTTATATAGACATACTTCTCAAACAGAGTTCATACTACATATGGCTAAACTTTTAAGAGGCTTCTACAAGGAAAGTCGAAATAGGATTTGTGTTTTTGCATTCCCGCCCTTTTGTAGTACAAGAAAGGTCCGAAATGAGGCTTCTTTGACGGTATTCCAAAAATGAAGAAAAGTTCAAGGGATTAGAGGTTCCAATTCTAAAACTATCTCAAAGCAGGGATTCTAGCTAAATCGGTTGCATTTAAGTCTTAGTTGGACAGGACAACATGTACGAGCAAATGTGAACAGGTAGTTCAAACGGGGGGTTTGACGGTGTGTGAACATACATGCATGCATACATATGTATATATACACACACATACACACATACATAGTACACCTCATGACCCTGCGCCTCTTCCAGCAAACACTGTAAACACAGTGTTTTTGAGCATTACACCTACCTTTCTTTTACATCCCGGACAAGGGTCGACATGAGCTCGGCTTACATGACTCAAGATGCTCGCCAAAAGCACTTGAAAGTGTGTCCAAGAACCTGAAAGTTGTTTCACTGGATCGCTAAGCACTTGAAAGCAGTTTACCGATGGATTGAAGAGTCAAGGTTGGCGAAAACAATGAAAACTTTCCTGAACCTCGTCAATCTTGGCCAAACCCAGTCTTTTCTAAGCACTTGACGTGCTTTACCGCTAGACTTGAAGATTCAAGATTGAAGATTGCACAGAAAACTTTCCAGAGAATTGTCAATCCTGGCCAACCCCAACAAACATTCAAGTTGCTCTAAATCCTCGAATGTATTTACCTCTGGATTGACGATTCAAGACTTGTTTTCTGTCACGGAAGGACTTTTGGAGAAATTTGTCCTCGCACTTTGAATGCAGCCATTGCGGGAATTTGGAGGGTTGCAGATTACATGCATGTGACTGCAGGCGGGGGTGTGTGTGTGCTTCGTTGCGAAGTATGTGTTGGAGACCTGGACAGGATTCAAGATTGACAGAAATAACCTTCTCAGATTCTTGAATCTTAAATCTCAAATGGCAAATGTTGATATCACTGCTTACATTACATATGTATGTATATAATGTATATATACATATGGCCCCCCCCCTCCCCCCCAGTTTGCTGCAAAATCAACGAGGCAAAAAAAGCACAAAACACTAAAAAACACAGCTTGAGCATCCATGGCGGAGGGTACCAGCGATGGTCAATTGTTTGGGAGGGAAAAAGGGGAACAACAAGAGATGCCAAACTATTTTTCGTTATGGGAAGCAAGACAAAAAAAAAGGACTTCTTAATCAGACTGAAAAATGTTTTAAACAAAAAATAACTAATACAACGTGAGTGTAAAATCAAGTTGTTGCACAGCCTGGTCTTTCTTTCTTTCTTTCATCTCGTATCTCATTCCATCCGCGTCCCTCAGATTCTATTTGCTAAGGAAAGGGGAATGGGATGACATCAGAAAATCGATGATTGGTTCAGTTGTCAGATCTCTTTTCCTCCAGTGCACGGAAGGACCATTCATAACGATACCAAGATAAAGGGAAGAATGGCGGGAAATAAATAATGCATCTGGCATCCATAAACGCGTTGCAGCATGCCCCGCAGGACTTTAGTTTGCAGTTGTAGTTGCTTTCAAGATGTTTTTTGCACATGGGAGGCATTACAGATTGCTCTGCTTTAGTTGAGTAAATGTGATGTCTTTTGGGCTAAAACCACACTTGTGGGAACCCCAAAACTAATGTAAACCCCGTATTAGTCTGTAACCCCCCCCCTCCTTGAAGGTTGGAAGGTTTTGGGGGGGCAAGATGTTGGAAGTTTTTTGCCTTGACCCCCTGAATAATCTGGAATTGAGTTTCCATTTGATTTAGTATTGCTGGGGCTTCCTTTTGAGATCTGGAATTGAGTTTCCATTTGACTTAGTATTGCTGGGGCTTCCTTTTGAGATCTGGAATTGAGTATCCAGTGTTGGGAGGTTCCCCAGTTCTGGAGGCAAATTGTGAGTTGTCTATGAATCCATGGTTCTGGTAGGCCTCTATGTGACCTTTCTTAAACACAGCCCCACCACAAATACGAAAAAGAATCAATCATCCAAACGTCCAAACGGGGTTGAAGCGCCAGCGCAATTTTTATTTGGCATAGCAAATGCTCCGTTAACCCTCCCCCCGGCCGGCTGCACGGTGCCAGATGTCAAAGTCCCCGCGCGGTCCGTCTCGAACTCCTGGCCATGTGGAACGCCCGCAAGCCGTGGCCCCCTTCATCCCAGCCACTGTCGAAGAAACCCAAACAATGGAATTCCGACCACACTTCCCAAGTGCTCTGAAGTGGACGTGATGGCCGTTGATGGGTTGCTTTGCCCAGCCTGCCTCGGCCTTGCCCTCCCGCGCAACCTAGACAAACGCCTGCATCCAGCCAGCCATCCAGCCCTTAGCCGCCTCAGCCCTTACCTCCTCTTTCCTGCCGGCCAAATCTTGGGGCTGCGAGATACTGGTTCTAAGGGCTGACCCGATCTGCATTGCTTATTGTGTTCCTTCCAGAATCCTGCCTGGCTAGTTAGGATATTCGAATATCAAGCACCCAGCAAACGCAACGCTGTCCGTCATTTTCTAGGAACTGTTTTGCTGGTGGAACGTCGTCGGACTTCGCCTGTATCGTGTGGAGTTGCACTTCTTAAGGTCCTCAGCTATGCCACGGCTGCCAAAACCTCACCCTTGGGACTCCTGCGTGTTTGGATTAGACATTCGGCGCGTAAAACCTCCGAAGCTGTTCACAATCTTGTCCACGCCTCACGGACCCAGGAAGAGGCCTTCGAGGCCCGAGCCCGGCGCCCAGGTGAGGCCTCAGCAGACCGAACCAAGGCCCTTCCAGACTTTACAATTTTCTCCAAACCTTGGCTTCGCAAAGTCCAAACCCCTTTGCACTGATGCCCAGACGTTCCCTAGACTGCTGAGGGATGTTGGCAGCCTCCTGCGGTCGCCTACCTGTTTGCTGCTCGTACTTCGTGTTGTTGTTTTTGGCATGCGGCTGTTCAGCCGCCCCCAGCAGGCGCGTCACTTTTGATGTCGCACTCCTAGTAATCCCCCATGCCTGCCACGCGGGCCCACAAGTTCCGCATTTGGTCCACGAAGGCGTCCCTTTCGCCGGCTCTGCGTCACTTTTCATGTCACATGTTGCTGTTGTTGTCGTCGTCGTTGTCATTGCAATTGTCGTTGTTGCTCGTGGCGGTGTATTTGTTGTTGTCGTTGTCATTGCGGTTGACATTGCTACTGTTGGCGGTGTTTCTGATCGCTGTTGTTGTCACTGTTGTTTTTGTTGCTGGTTGGCGGTGTTGTTGTTGGCGTTCTTCTTGTTGCGAGCGGCGCTGGTGTTGGCACTGGCAACGCTGCCGTTGTTGTTGTCGTTGTTGGTGGTGGTTTTGTTGGCGGCGTTGGTGTTGCTACGTTGGTATTGTCGGGGTTGTTGGTTTTGTTGGTTGTTGGGTTGCTTGCTTGGGTTAGCGGGTTGGTTGGTTGCTTGGTTGGTTGGTTGGTTGCTTGGTTGGTTGGTTGGTTGGGTGGCTGGCTGGCTGGCTGGCTGGCTGGTTGTTGCTGTTCTTGTTGTTGGCGGCGGTGGGGTTATTTGCGTTGTTGTTGCTGGCGCTGTTCTTGGGTTTTGGTTGTTGGTTGCTGGTTGCTGGTCGTTGGCTGTGAGTTGTTAACTGTTGGTTGTTGGCTGTTGGCAGTTGGTTCTGTCGGTTGTTGGCTCGCGGTCGTTGGTTGGCGCTTGTTGTTTTGGCGGCGGCGGTGGCGGTGGTTGTGTTGTTCGTTGTTGGTGATCGCGTTGGTGTTGTTCTTGTCGGTGTTGTTGCTGGTGTTGGTGTTGCGCTGTGGCTGTTGTTGCACTTCTTTTTGCTGCTTTTGTCGTTGATGTTGTTGTCGCTGTTGCTGCTGTCGGTGTTATTGTTGCGGGATCCCAGTTGCGGCGGTTGCTGTTGCTGTTGTTGTTGGTTGTTAACTGTCGGCTGCGTGTTGTTGATTGTTTGGCGCTTGTTGCTTCTTGCTTGCGGCTTGTCGTTTGTTGTTTGTTCTTTGCTGCTTATTGTTTGCAATTTGTTGCGTGTTGTGTTTTTTGTCGCTTGCTGTCGCTGTTGCCGTTGTCGTTGTCGGCGTTGGCGTTGTCGTTGCCATTACTGTTACTGTTGTTCTTCTTGCTGCTGCCGCTGTTGGTGTTGTTGCGCTTGTTGTTGCTGGGGTTGCTTGTTTGTTTGTTTGTTTGACTGTTTCGTTGGCTGATGGTCTTCTTGTTTGTCGGCTTTGATAATTTGTTTGTTCCCTTGGTTTTCCTTGTTTGCTTGCTTGTTTGCTGCTGTTGTTGCTGTTGTTAGCGTGTTGTTGTTGACGTTGGCAATGGTGGGACTCTTGTTGGCGCTAATTTTGGTGGTTTTTTTGGTTGTTGCTGCTGTTGCGGGTGGTGTTGTTAATGTCGGCCTATGATTAAAAAATCTCCCCTGATTAAAGTTATTTGCGGGGAACCCACACACACGCACAAAAACACACCAAACAACACACACACCCGCTAGCATCACCTCAACCTCTTCCACTAGCTTGCCTGATTGGTCAGCATCTGCCTCGCCTGCCTTAAAAATTTCAGATCTACAAAAAATACTAGCCCCCAAACTGCAAATTCTTCACACACTCTTGTTTGCAAAGTGGCCCCGAAACTAAATAAAGATTCCTGGTTGCCCTCCCCCCAACAAAACAACACGCTCAACTCGTGTTTGAAAAGGCTATCTTGGTAAAAGGCTCAATCTTTAAAAGATTTCCCTTGGAACTTGCTCCCTATCATTTCAATCATCTAGCTTTTGCAATCCCAACAAAATCCCAGCTCCCAAAATGCAAATTCTTTACACACTCTTGATTGAAAAGTGGCCCCGAATCAACCCTACAAGGGGGGTAGTGCTTGGGGGTTGGAAACTTTATTTAGAGGCCCACCCTAAATAAAGACTCCTGGTCGCCCCCCCCCCCAACAAAAAGAAGTGTCACCAGCAAAACTCCGCGGAGAGGCGCACGGGAAGAGTGGCAACAAGATCGTCATCATGAACCATCATCTCGTTTGTTCGACTTCAATTGTAGCTCCGATTTGAGATGCAAAAAACGCGTGGACATGCCAAGCAAAAGATGTGTGGACATGCTTATCATGATGACTCCTGGTGATGCTCAGGATGCGTCATGATGCTAATCTTCCGATTTATCATCAATATCCGCTGCACGAGCATTCTGGAAGACCAGGTCTAAGGCGCGACCCGTAAGCTTCGTTACGGGTCACGCTTCACATTCTCTTCACATTCACACTTGTCTTCATATATTCTTCTGACGTTCTTCGTACTTTATGTTTTCTCTTCTTCTATTCTTCTTTGAGCGTGTATCTAGCTAGCGCTTTGCCTTTCCTACGGCTTCGCCCTACAGCGGCCGCCTCGATGGCGCCCTGTAGCTGAGGATGCGTCGCGATGATTATCATGCGACCTGAGATGCAAAAGATGCTGAGGAGGTTGGACCTTAGAACGCGCGGCCAGAACGCGCGGCCAGGCTTTATCATCATGATTACTGGTGATGCTGAGCATGCGTCATGATGATTATCATGCGACTTGAGATGCGCAAAAGACGCGTGGACATGATTATCACGATGACTGCTGGTGATGCTGGGGATGCGTCAGAATGATTATGAGCTGAATTGAAACGCAAAAGATGCGTGGACATGATTATCATGAGGATTGCTGGACGGTTGCATGATTATCATGATGACTGCTGGACAATTATCATCACGGTCATCATCCTTGTCACCCTCGTCATCAATATCATCATGATCATCATCATCATCGTAGTCATCACCATCTCTTTCTATATTCTACACTATACATTTCAAGTGTGGCGTTAGAGAGCATTGGCGATGCAGAGGATGCGTCGTCATGATTATCATCATGACTACTGGTGATGGTGAGGATGCGTCAGGATGATTATCATGCGACTTAAGATGCAAAGATGCGTGGACATGATTATCATGATGACTGCTGGTGATGCTGAGGCTGCGTCATGATGACTATCTGCCGATTTGAAACGCAAGAGATGCGTGGACATGATTATCATAAGGATTGCTGGACGGTGACATGGTTATCATGACGACTGCTGGACAATTATCATCACGGTCATCATCCTTGTCACCCTCGTCAGCAATATCATCGTCATCATCACCGTAGTCATCACCATCTCTTTCTATACTTTTATATTCTATACTATACATTTCAAGTGTGGCGTTAGAGAGCACTGGTGATGCAGAGGATGCGTCGTCATGATTATCATCATGACTACTGGTGATGCTGAGGATGCGTCATGATAACTATCATGCGACTTGAGATGCAAAAGATGCGTGGACATGATTATCATGATGACTGCTGGTGATGCTGAGGCTGCGTCATGATGACTAGCAGCCGATTTGAAATGCAAGAGATGCGTGGACATGATTATCATGAGGGTTGCTGGACGGTTACATGGTTATCATGATGACTGCTGGCCAGTTATCATCACAGTCATCCTCCTTGTCACCCTCGTCATCAATATCATCATCATCATGATCATCGTAGTCATCACCATCTCTTTCTATACTGGTATATTCTATACTATACATTTCAAGTGTGGCGTTAGAGAGCACTGGTGATGCAGAGGATGCGTCGTCATGATTATCATCATGACTACTGGTGATGCTGAGGATGCGTCATGATGATTATCATGCGACTTGAGATGCAAAAGATGCGTGGACATGATTATCATGATGACTGCTGGCGACGCTGAGGGTGCGTCATGATGACTATCAGCCGATTTGGATTGCAAGAGATGCGTGGACATCATTATCATGAGGATAGCTGGACGGTTACACGGTTATCATGATGACTGCTGGACAATTATCATCACAGTCATCATCCTTGTCACCCTCGTCATCAATATCATCGTCATCATCGTAGTCATCACCATCTCTTTCTATACTTTTATAATCTACACTATACATTTCAAGTGTGGCGTTAGAGAGCACTGGTGATGCAGAGGATGCGTCGTCATGATTATCATCATGACTACTGGTGATGCTGAGGATGCGTCATGATGATTATCGTGCGACTTGAGATGCAAAAGATGCGTGGACATGATTATCATGATGACTGCTGGTGATGCTGAGGATGCGTCATGATGATCCTCAGCCGATTTGAAATGCAAGAGATGCGTGGACATGATTATCATGAGGATTGCTGGACGGTTACATGGTTATCATGATGACTGCTGGACAATTATCATCACGGTCATCATCCTTGTCACCCTCGTCATCAATATCATCATCATGATCATCGTAGTCATCACCATCTCTTTCTATACTTGTGTATTCTATACTATACATTTCAAGTGTGGCGTTAGAGAGCACTGGTGATGCAGAGGATGCGTCGTCATGATTATCATCATGACTACTGGTGATGCTGAGGATGCGTCATGATGATTATCATTTGACTTGAGATGCAAAAGATGCGTGGACATGATTATCATGATGACTGCTGGTGATGCTGAGGATGCGTCATGATGATTATCAGCCGATTTGAAATGCAAGAGATGCGTGGACATGATTATCATGAGGATTGCGTCATCTTTTGCTTAGCATAACATACAGTATGAAGAAAGTCCGAAGAATATATGAAGACATCAACCAAGGGGATCCCTGTGGAACAGAAACACCCGTGTGGAACAGAAACCCAGATTTGTGCTATTAAAAGCGCAACAACAAAGGGTAGTTAGAGGTCCCTCACCACATTTGATGCTCGATCCAAGGGAGGGGGTCGGCGGCACTGGGCAGCCCTTAAATCCAGCTACACCTCCTTGGGGTAGCATGTCGCCGCTAGGCAATTAGCCTGCTAGCTTTAGCTATAGGGGGTGCACCCTGGTGCCGCCGACCCTCGCCACTTGGTCGTGATGCGCTGCCTACATCCGGCACCTCTGCATCACCAGCTCGGGCTTGCGGTTTTGCTTGCCTGTGCGAAACCCTTGCAAAACATCGCGTATATGCAGGGTTTAGGCCATGTGGCTGACATCATCAGGGTCCGGGGTTGGGCCTGGGTGATGCTTCAGCGGGGCTTGGTCTGCATCATCAAGACTTCCTTCCAAAAAGCCTCTCAAAAAAGCACTGTTTTTAGAAGGTATCGGAAGGATGCCGGCGATGCTGGGTCCTCGCTCTACGAAACGCTGTAAATACCGTCAAAAACTGCTGTGCTGAGCGGTGGGCTGTCGTTCTGTCCGTTTTGCTTTTGCTGTGGCTGGCTCGCGTGCTGCGCGGTCCTTGCTTTTTTCGCGTTGGTTTTCGGGCCTTCTGGCGCGCGCGCTCGCGACTAGCCACAAAATGCTGCTATTTACGGTGTTTTGTTGCTTTTGCGTTTCCGGGCTGGCTTGCGGGCTGTTCTTTTTGGGCTGCTGTTTCTGCGGCCTCTGGCGCGCGCGCGCGCGACCCCATGTCAGCCTTCTGGTTTGGGTCCCGGCTAGGGCCCAGAAAGCTGGCATCCCTGGCATCATCTGGGGTTGGGGTGGGCAACATGCGTAACCTAACCAGCCATATCATAGCACAGGATACGTTTCTCATACAAAAAACATGACATGACATGGTATAACTTCAAAAAGGCGTAGCCGGCTAGAGGCCGCAGGCCCAGAAAATAAATCAATCGGAATCCTAACAAGTCAAACTCAAAAAGGAGGCTCCAGCAATACCACACCAGTTGACACTCAACCTCAGCAATACTAAACTCAAATCCCTCAAGTCAAATCTCAAAAGGAGGCCAGCAATACGAAATCAATTGAGAACTCAAATCCCCCCAATACTACACAAATTGGAAACCCGACTCCCATCTCAAAAGGAGGCTCCAGCAATACTAAATCAATTGAAACACAACAAATGTGTGAGCAATACTTAGCAACTCGTAATCAAGTTGCAAAAGCTATTTGGGGAGGGAAGTTGTTTGAGGGGGGTGTTTATTAATCAGAGGTAGACATTAATGTTGCTGCTGGTTGTTGCTGTTGTTGTTCTTGCTGTTGGTGCTGCCGTTGTTGTTGTTGCTGCTCATGAAGCTGTCCTCCTCGTCGAAATTACAACTTTATGTTGTAGTTGTTGCTGTTGTTGCTGTTAGTGTTGTTGCGGTCCGCGTAGTAGCTTGAGTTGTAGTAGTCGTTGTGGCTGCTGCCGCTGTTGTGTCTGTCGCTGTTGCTGCCGTTGCTGTTGTTGTTGTTGTTGTTGTTGTTGCTGTTGTTGCTGCTATTGCTGCTGGCGCTGGTGTTGCTGTTGTTGTTGCCGTTGCTTTAGTAAAAATAGCCGTCGTAGTCGTGGTTGTAGTAATAGTAGTACTAGAAGAACTAGTAGTAGTAGTAGTAGTAGTAGTAGTAGTAGTAGTAGTAGTAGAAGCAGTAGTAGCAGTTGGAGGACGAGTAGTAGCAGCTGGCGTTGCTGCCGCAGCTGCAGCTGGAGTTGTTGCCGTTGCCGTTGTCGCTTCTGGCGGGTCTGTTGGTGCTCTCGTTGCTGTTGATGCTGTTTTTGCTGTTGGTGCGGTTGTTGCCGGTCTTACTGCTGGTGCTGCCGCTGCTTTCGTTGTGGCAGCGATTGCCGTTGTTGTTGTTGTTGTTGCTGCGGTTGTTGGTTGCTGGTTGTTGGTTGTTGGTTGCGGCGGTAGTTGCGATTGTTGCGGCTGTCGCTGTTGGCGGCGGTTGTTGTGGTTGGCAGTGGTGGTGAGCGGTTGCGCTGGTGTTGTTTGTTGTTGTTGTTGTTGTTGTTGTTGTTGTTGTTGTTGTTGTTGTTGTTGTTGTTGTTGTTCTTGTTCTTGTTCTTGTTCTTGTTCTTGTTCTTGTTCTTGTTCTTGTTCTTGTTCTTGTTCTTGTTCTTGTTCTTGTTCTTGTCTTGTCTTGTTCTTGTTCTTGTTCTTGTTCTTGTTCTTGTTCTTGTTCTTGTTCTTGTTCTTGTTCTTGTTCTTGTTCTTGTTCTTGTTCTTGTTCTTGTTCTTGTTCTTGTTCTTGTTCTTGTTCTTGTTCTTGTTCTTGTTCTTGTTCTTGTTCTTGTTCTTGTTCTTGTTGTTGTTGTTGTTGTTGTTGGTTGCTTTTGGTTTACGCGCTTGTTGTTGTTATCGTTGTGAGGGCCTTCTTGTGTTTGGACAGTTGGCTGGTTGGTTGGTTGGGCTGGTTGGCTGGTTGGTTGCTTGGGCTGGTCGGCTGGATGGATGGTTGGTTGGTTGGTTGGTTGGTGTTCTTCTTGTTGTTGCTGGTTGGTGTTATTGTTGTTGTTGCTGGTCGGTTGGTTGGTTGCTTGGGGTTGGCGTTGGTGTTGGCGCTGGTGTCAGTGTTGGTGTTGGTGTTGTTCTTGTTGGTGTTGGTTGGTGTTGTTGCTGTTGATCGACTAGGCAAGAAGCTTAGGTTAAGCCATCAAGCACGCGCTTTTTCTTGCGCCAGGTGTAGCGAGTATATCGAACTACACAATGCGTCCCTGTGTCTTGTCTGCGCGCCGTTGATGCGTTGTCTCAGCGCTGCTGGATCGTCTGCGGCAAGCAGAGGTGGAGGCGGCGCCCTGGCACCAACAGCCCGCTGGCGCTGGACAATTCTTCTTGTGTTTGCATCTTGGGCGGATGCAAGAAACTGTGGTGATTGTGCCGTGTGTGCGGGCATCAGGTCATTCCAGGATGCCTTCAACCTCCTGAGAAGGATGTCAAACTGTGATGTGAATATAAGGAACTCTGAGTTCTGTCGCCGATGATTGAAGAAACTGAAGCCTATTTCTTCAGCGTCTTCTTGAAGTAGTTGACTCCTTCGGAGGATCTTGAAGCAAATCGTGGGCGCTTCGTTCCGAAAGAATCTGTGTGGCTCTAGATCATCCTATTGGTGTACACCGAATGGATGCGTTGAGGTAGGTCAAAGCTACGTTCTACTCAGAAGGGCCTTGAGCCACGAAAAGCAGTATGAGATTCTGCGGGCTCCATGACGGAACCAGCAAACACAGGGGCGGGGGAGGAGGTTGCGCGACCAGCTGCAGCTTGATCAAGGGCAGACGCTCTCTTATTTCATCATAGAGCAGATGCCCTTGTGCCAAGTCACAGCCTGATGAAAATCGACATTGTAACACAAGGGCCGGGTGCCGGGGCTCGCCCACACCCATCTTGGAGCCTGCGTGTCAGCCATGTTGACAACTTCAGGCTTTGTCTAGGTTCCAGGATGTTAGGCTGGAGCGATCTACCACTTTCTGCCCGCCAACTTGCGAGAGCCTCGCTTCATGGTCGCTCCTTGAGGCATGAGCAAACGAGCGTGTGGGAGCACCCAGCAAGTGTCAATAGACACGGTTAGGGTCAACTGCGTTTTGGGTTCAAGAATTTGGTTCAACTGGGCTTAGGGTTTGAGGTTTTGGCTTAGGGTCAACTGAGTTTAGGGTTTAAGGCTTTGGTTTAGGGTCAACTGAGTTTAGGGTTTAAGGTTTTGGCTTAGGGTCAACTGAGTTTACGGTGTAAGGTTTTGGCTGCTTGCAACTGCTCCGTTTGCTGGCGAGGGCTACATTTTCTGCATGAGGTCATTGCAAAGTGTCCGCTTCGGGGTTCCCAGGAACAAGGAAAACATTGGGAATTTTAACTTTTTGCATTCCGCTTGAGGAGTTGAGGCTTGCCCCCTGCCCGAATATGCTGAAATGCTGGCCCTGCCACGACTTTTGGAGGTCCCGAAACGTTGTTCCCGAGGGCCGCGGGCAAACCGCAGCTCCTGCCCGTAACACAACACGTCTACGTGCGTAAACCTACGCAAACACACCATGTTTGTTTTGCGCGTGCTGTTGAGAAGAAGAGCACACACGCTGCTCTTTTCTCGGAATGATATCTTACAGATCTCTTGGTAGACTGGCCCCTTGCAAGTAGCCAACATAAAATAATGGGCCAAACAACCACTGCGCGCCTTTTTGCTCGCAGGTCCAATAGCCCCACTTCAGTTTCATGGGCATTTCGCCCATCCTTTTGTCGAACGATGGCCTTGCATGTGTCACTGGTGACTGGAAAAAAAAAGCCGAGGCGGTTGAAGTGGGGCTGCCCAGCCTGCCTCGCGTCAGGCCGGCATCCGTCCGCAACCCCAATGGGTTGCAAAATTTAACGGGTTCACAGTGCGGACACGGTCCATTGAATGCTCCAATTTCCAACCGCCAGAAACCCCTACCCCAAAAACGCCAGCCGCAAGCCCTCGCTTCTGTCGTTTGAATCGCTGACAACCAAAGACTCCATGCTCAAACGCCATCACTTGATAGATTGTCCTAAACTCGCCCATGAAAAAGAAGTGGTACTCCTAGTTTGCCAGCAGGTTTTGTATGGCAGGAATCCCGGAAAAGGAAAAGCTTGATTCGGGTTTGCCTCAACATAGGGAAGCCAATGAACATTGTGCTTCAACATGCTCCCAAACAGATCCAGCCATGTCTAGCCCCTTGAAAGGCCTCTTTCAAGCAACTGGCCACACGTCTTTAAAAGGTCCGGGCGACGCCCTAGCAACCAAAGCTGCGTCCGAGATTTGAGGCGCTTGTGCAAGTCCAACAAAGCCCCGAAGCCAAGTTGGCAAGCACACATCAACATACAGGAATGAGTTGTCATTTGGGGCCCCTTGATAAACATCATTTGCCCCCTTTTCATTCCCAGTGTGCCTCCATTTTCCGGCTCAGATGGGCGGAGTTTGGCTTTGGATGGGACGGCAAGTTCCCTCCAACACGCGCAGCGCACGAGCGCAGCGCACGAGCGCTTGCAGGGTCAGCAACATTATTGAAATCGCCCTTTGTTCACTTGTCGTGCTCTTTGCAGCGCTTCGTAAACACGCAGAATGTTCTGGCTCGGTGCGTGCAGGTTTAGCAACAAAAGGGGTTGCAAGCAACGCAGCACGGTCTTCAGTCTGGCTGGAGGACATCTGCTTGTGACGCGACCCCAAATTCTGATCTCAATTCACGTTGGTGTCTTGCACTGGAAACAACCCGTGGGCTTGCCACGTGTTGGTTCTGGGGGCCTGCCGTGGCAATATGACCACGTTCCTTCGGAAGATGCTCAACGGTGGCACGTGCGCTCAGAGGGGCTCCTACGCCAAATGCGGGGCTTCCCAAAAAGTCCTGCGTTTGTTGCGAAGACTTCGTGCTGGCTTGTGTGTGTTTTGGTTTGGCTGGCTGCTGGTCTATTTCCTGGTCTTGCGCCCCCCTAACCTTGAGAGACATGGGTTTCCAAAACTGAGGACCCCGCTCCCCCCGACCCCCACCTTCTTTCGGTTGGTGTTTAAGGCAGAAGGTCACTGTGGAGGCCCCGGTTTTGCACTGTCTGTTTCAAGCGAGTTTGTTTGTAGCTGCCTGTATTTCTGAACAGGGGCTTCCGCTTGGGAACTACCCTGAGTAATTATCCGTATCAATGCAGCTCTCCTGCTGCCAGACTCGGCCCAGGATCACTTGGACCGAGTAGGTACTCCAGGGGCTTGGGTCTCCTGATGGCTTACACAACTTCCTTGAAGTTTCATGTGGTTCTGTTGCTTAGGTTTGAATTTGGAGGATGGGTCACAACATTTCAAATCTGAGCCTCGCATCTTACAAGCTCATACGCTTGGTCAGTGTTTGCTGCTTGAGCACGCGCATGAGTGGCACCATAGTGGCAAGGGTCTTGCGCTGCTGGTGATGCAGGACAAGCAGCGTTAGCCACAATAATCTCTGCAACTAGTTTGATCGCTGCTTTGCTTTTACGCCAGCACATGTGGCAACAAGGGGCTTGCTTGCACTGGGGCTACGGTTCTAGAAAAACATGTTCTATGCATCTTGCTTCTGGGCCCATTTGCATGTAGCACTCTCTAATTCATCCTCTCTAATTCAATGGGGTCGAATAGGATGGAACATGTTTGTGTACGTGGCTTTGACACGTAGCTGCACTTGTCATAGGCTAGGCGAATGTGCAGGAGTGTCATCAGGGTACAAGCTCGCAATTGCTTTGCACGGGGAGTTGGCTAGCGCCAGAAATGGGTACCTCGATTCAATGAAATCTGTTGGTTTCCATCATAAACCGTGTCGTCATGCAGTGCAAGGCATTTCTCTGTTCCATTGTTTCTTGCTTTTCGGACATAAGTTATGCTTTTTGGGGTTGGCCACAAGAGAATCTACACATCAGAAGTTGTGTTGATGACCTATAGAGGGCGCAAATAGAATAAGTGCTTCTCTCCCCCACTACCAGCTATTAAAGTGAACCCGCCATAGGCTACTACTTCATATTGCCTATAGATATCAGGACATACTGTTTTGCAGAAATCCACCCATTAAACGCTACCAGTTTTTTCCCCCATGCAAACTATATAGTGGCAAAATAATTTGTCCCATTTTCACCCTCCATGGATCAGTTATGTTTGTGTGAGTGGCTTGTTTTTCCTTGGGGCACAACGCAGTAAGTAGCAACAAGAAACAGCAATGAAATGCGGGGCGCCTTGTCAGATCCTTGTTTGCTGGAACCAGCATCTTGAAATCCCACTATGCGTGGCTGTAGCTCACAAGGGGTTGGTGCAAGGCCCGTGCAACTTGTGGTCATGAGGGTCCTTCCCTTGTTACCTTGTGGATGAGATGCACCTACCATAGGCTACCAAGCTGCTATCTGAGCTTGTGGATTGAACTTCTCCATTGGCCATGGCTCAGTTCTCCCATATGACACGCTGAATTAACTACAAATCGCTAGTCCTATTGCCAGCACAGGACATGTGAGAAATGAGGCAAAGCACCTGAAAGTGTGGACAGCATGAATTGCTAGATCATCAATAATAGCTTATCCTGCTTCCCCCTTCCATAGGTCATCAACACAATTTCCGATAAGTAGATCTCTTGTAGTCAACCCAAGAAAACCTTCGCTGCAAAGAAAAACGATGTAGCACTGAAATGCTCTGCGCTACATGGAAAACATTTTCTGAGGTGTACAACATGGATCTTAAACACTGGGCCTCCACAGCGTTCCAAGGTTTGGAAAAAGCCTATTTCCGGACACAACCATATGCGTTGTTGCCTTCCCGAACCATACGCTATCCAAACAAAAAGGAATCGAACCGGCCGGAAGAAGTTCTGAATGATCCGTCAGCCACGCAACATCCAGGTACGTGCCTCTTAAGCAACCCCTGGATCCTTTCGAAGCAACGCTCCGAAGTACAGAACGCGGAAAGCTGAGGAAAATATTCTGGACCGTGGTGGAATTTCCTCCATTTGACATTGCTATTTGAGGCAAAACTTGCAGAAAGTCGGACCCCCCTTCCCCGCTTCGCAAAGCGCTCCTCAGGCCATGGCTGAGGCCTGGCTCTCCTGGCGCAATTCAAAGTTTGCTCGGCTTTGCGTCGCTTGGCCTTTCGGCTCCAGTTTCTAAAGCTTCCAAACAAGCCGGAGAAGGTTCCCGAAGCTAAGGCGACCCAGCCCGCCTCTGTCGCTGTCGCGCAGACCAAAAAAGCTTTTCCCATAAATCGCTGGTTGATGCATGGGGGATCTGCGTTTTTAGGGCGACAACTCTTGATCTGGTGACAAAGGGTAGCGCACACGTCCCCCGGAAGTTGAAACTTGTCCGTCTTAGTTGATACGTTTCAATGGGTTTGATGCGTTACAGCTCCAACTCGATAGTTGAAGGCTTTAACGCGAGGCAGCTGTCTAGCAGGTGGCTCGTGTTGCCGAGAAACTCTCAACATCTCCGTGCACGAAGCAAGACAAGCCAGGTGTTTGAGCAACGCTCGTGACCTGTAAGCGGAATCCTTTACCTTTGTGGAGAACACCAGAACACAACTAATAACCCACCCGCCAGTCAACGTCAGTTGAGGATGGCAAAACGTTTTTCCCTTTAGTTGCCTTTACGCCCTCCAAGAGACTGCCCGCAAAAGAAAACTTTCCATGCGTCAACAAAGTGAACCTGAACCCTGAACCGCATGAAGCTTAAATGATCCGCCTTAAACGATTCCCGCCGCTCCACCAAAGATGGTCGGCCTCTCTTCCGCAACGGACGCCTGAATGAACGACAGATTGCTTCTTCCTTTTTCATACTTGAGGCCTGTTTGACCTACGCACTTGCGAGATTGCTTTTGCGCTTGCCCGTTGACAGGTCTGCAGGTCCTCAAAGGTGAACCCTGGTAAGAAAACTCGGGCAACACAAACATCCGCCACATCTGCCACATCCGCCCCGTGTTTCAAATCTTCGTGGCGCCCGCCTGAGCTTGGAAGCTCGGGAGGTCGATTGAACTGTGCTCATTCCTCGGCTTCGCGGGGTGGAGGGGAGCACAGGGTCCGCCTTGTTTTTTTTCCCTTCTCCGGTGGTTCTGTGCTTTTTGCATCAAACATCACATTTTGGGCCAGGCCTTTGGGTGATGATGGCATCTCCCCTTGGAAGCCTTGCGGAGCCTATCTGGGCTCGCCTTACACCTGGCCTGCGCCAGACCACCCCGCAACCTCCGCAATCTTACTTGGCCCGTACCGCACCACCCTGCAACCTTCGGAGCCTTTAGGCCACCCCAGAACCTTACGCATGACCACACTACGCCAGACCACCGAAACCTCACCTCCAAAACTTGAACCTCCCTGGACGGAGCCTCCGAACCTTGCTTGAACCTGACTTAGAACTCCAGAGCTCCCCCAAGCCACCCCCCAAACCTTATCTGGGCTGAGACCCCAAAGCTTTCAGATGTTGGGTGAATCTTGAACCTTGAGTCCCAGAAATTGTTGCAAAAAACTCTAGTGTTACCCAATACTTCATGTTTCCAATACATACTTCTGCCACCATGTACGCGCACCCGTCTGCAGCCACATACATTTACTCTGCAACCTCCAAGTTCCCGCAGTGGCTGGATTCAAAGTGCGAGGGCAAAATCCGCCGACCCCTTGTCCGCAAGGGAGGCGCACGGGAAGGGCCATCATCTCTCATGAGGCAGCATTGGTAATGCAGAGGATGCTACGGTGATAGAAATCATCACGGTCATCATCCTTATCACCATAGTCATGATCCTTATCGTCATCCTCATGGTCATCATCATCATCTCTTATTAAGCAGCATTGGTAATGCAGATGATGCTACAGTGATAGTTATCATGACAATCATCATCCTTATCATCATCCTCGTCATCATCACCCTGAGCATCATCATTGTGCTCATCATCATCATTTTCTTGTTTCTTTCTTATTTCTCACTACTATGTGCATCTCAAATGTGGCGTTAGGCATTGCTGGTGATGCAGAGGGTGCTACGATGATAGTTATCTTCACAGTCTTCGCTTAACATCATTGTCCTCACGACCCTCATCATCTCTTATGAGGCAGCATTGGTAATGCAGAGGATGCTACGATGATAGTTGTCATCACAGTCATTATCCTTGTCATCATCCTCGTCATCATCATCCCGGTCATCATCTTTGTGGTCATCATCATCCTTTTCTTGTTTCTCTCTTACTTCGTTTTACTCTGTACATTTTAATTATGGCGTTCGGCAGCATTGGTAACGCAAAGGATGCTACGATGGTACTTATCATCACAGTCATCATCCTTATCATCACAGTGTGCATCCTTATCATCATCATCTCTTCTGAGGCAGCATTGGTCATGCAGAGGATGCCACGATGATAGTTTTCCTCACAGTCATCATCCTTATCATCGCAGCCATCATCCAAATCTTCGTCCTCATGGGCATCGGCAGCATTGGTAATGCAAACGATGCTACGATGATAGTTATCATGACAGTTATCATCCTACCATCATCCTCGTGGTACCTTTCAATCGTGGCGTTAGGCAGCATTGGCAAAGCAGAGGATGCCACGATGATAGTTATCATCAAAATCATCATCCTCATAGTCATCATCCAGACCATCATCTCTTATGAGGCAGCGTTGGTAATGCAGAGGATGCTACGTTGATAGCTATCACCGCAGTCATCTTCCTTACCATCATAGTCACCATCCTTATCACCATCATCTCTTATGAGGCAGCAAATGTACATTTCGCTTGTGGCGTTGGGCGTTGTTGGTGGTGCCGGGGGTGCTGCGACGATAGATATCTTCACAGTCTTCATCCTTAGCATCATCGTGCTCACGACCCTCGTCATCTCTAATGAGGCAGCATTGGAAATGCAGACGATGTTACGACAAAAGTTGTCATGACAATCATCACCCTACCCTCATCCTCGTGGTCATCATCATGACCCTGATCACCATCGTTGCGGTCATCATCATTTTCTTTCTTCTTTCTATATACATTTCAATTAGCAATTGCAATGCAGAGGATGCTACAATGATATCATCACAGTCATCACCCTTATCGTCATAGTCATCATCCTTTTCCTACTCCTCATGGTCATCGGCAGCATTGGTCATGCAGAGGATGCCACGATGATAGTTTTCCTCACAGTCATCATCCTTATCATCGCAGCCATCATCCAAATCTTCGTCCTCATGGGCATCGGCAGCATTGGTAATGCAAACGATGCTACGATGATAGTTATCATGACAGTTATCATCCTACCATCATCCTCGTGGTACCTTTCAATCGTGGCGTTAGGCAGCATTGGCAAAGCAGAGGATGCCACGATGATAGTTATCATCAAAATCATCATCCTCATAGTCATCATCCAGACCATCATCTCTTATGAGGCAGCGTTGGTAATGCAGAGGATGCTACGTTGATAGCTATCACCGCAGTCATCTTCCTTACCATCATAGTCACCATCCTTATCACCATCATCTCTTATGAGGCAGCAAATGTACATTTCGCTTGTGGCGTTGGGCGTTGTTGGTGGTGCCGGGGGTGCTGCGACGATAGATATCTTCACAGTCTTCATCCTTAGCATCATCGTGCTCACGACGATGTTACGACAAAAGTTGTCATGACAATCATCACCCTACCCTCATCCTCGTGGTCATCATCATGACCCTGATCACCATCGTTGCGGTCATCATCATTTTCTTTCTTCTTTCTATATACATTTCAATTAGCAATTGCAATGCAGAGGATGCTACAATGATATCATCACAGTCATCATCCTTATCGTCATAGTCATCATCCTTTTCCTACTCCTCCTGGTCATCGGCAGCATTGGTCATGCAGATGATGCTACGATGACAGTTATCATCCCTTTTTTGTTTCTTTCTTATTTCTTATTACTATATACATTTCAGTTGCGGCGCTAGGCAGCATTTGTAACGCAGAGAATGCTACCATGATAGATATCATCAAAGTCATCATCCTTACATCACAGTCATCATCCTTATCATCATCATCTCTTCTGATGCAGCAGCACTGGTAATGCAAAGGATGCTACGATGACAGTTATCATGACAGTCATCGCCCTTATCCTCATGGTCATCAGCAGTATTGGTCATGCAGATGATGCTACGAGGATAGTTTTCATGCTCGTGGTCATCATCATCACCCTGATCAGAATCGTTGCGGTCATCATCAATTGTTCTTTCTTCTGCTTATATACAATTCAATTGTGGCGTTAGGCAGCATTGGTAATTGCGCAGGATGCTACACTGATAGTTATCATCACAGTCATCATCCTTATCATCATAGTCATCATCATCATCATGATCATCCATTGGTAATGCAGACGATGCTACGATGATAGCTACCATCACGGTCATCATCCTTATCGTCACAGTCATCATCCTTATCACCATCCTCATGGTCATCAGAGTTATCATCCTGGTCATAATCATCACCCTGGTCAGAGTCGTTGTGGTCATCATAAATTTTTCTTTCTTCTCATTATATACATTTCGGCAGCATCGGTAATTGCACAGGATGCTACGATGATAGTTATCATCACAGTCATCATCCTTATCATCATAGTCATCACCATCATCATCATCTCTTATGAGGCAGCATTGGTAATGCAGAGGGTGCTACGATGATAGTTATCATCACAGTCCTCATCCTTATCATCATCCTCGTCATCATCATCATCCTGTGGTCATCATCATCCTTTTCTTTTTTCTGCCTTACTTCTTTCTACCATGTACATCAATTGTGGCGTTAGGCATTGTTGATAATGCAGAGGATGCTACGACGATAGATATCTTCACAGTCTTCATCCTTAACATCATTGCGCCCGCGATCCTCAACATCTCTTATGCGGCAGCATTGGAAATGCAGATGATGTTACGATGATAGTTATCATGACAATCATCATCCTACCATCATCCTCGTGGTCATCACCATGACCCTGATCATCATCATTGTGGCCATCATGATTTTTCTTTCTTATTATATACATTTCAATTAGAACTGGTAATGCGGAGGCTGCTACGATGATAATTATCATCGCAGTCTCATCATAGTCATCATCCTCATCATCATCATATCTTAGGAGAAGCATTGGTAATCCAGACGATGCTACGATGTGAGTTACCATCACAGTCATCATCTTGATCATCATAATCATCACCCTGATCATCATCATTGTGGTCATCCTCATCCTTTTCTTGTTTCTTTCTCATTTCTCATTACTACAAACATCTCAATTGTGGCGCTAGGCAGCATTGGTAACGCAGAGGATGCTACGATGATAGTTATCATCACAGTCATCATCCTTAGCATCATAGTCATCACGGTCATCATCATCATCTCTTCTGAGGCAGCATTGGTAATGCAAAGGGTGCTTCGATGATAGTTATCATCACAGTCACCATCCTCATCACAGTCATCATCCTTATCATCATCCTCATGGTCATCAGCAGCATTGGTCATGCAGATGATGCTACGATGATAGTTATCATCCTCGTGGTCATCATCCTCACCCTGATCATAATCGTTGCGGTCATCATCATTTTTTCTTTCTTCTTATTATGTACAACTCAACTGTGGCGCTAGGCAGCATAGGTAAATGCACAGGATGCCACGATGATAGTTATCATCACAGTCAACATCCTTGTCATCATAGTCATCACGATCATCATGATTTCTCTTATGAGGCACCACAGTCATGACTCTGATCATCATCATTGCGGTCATCTTTCCTTTTCTTGTTACTATATACATTACAATTGTGGCGTTAGGCAGCATTGGTAATGCAGAGGGCGCTACGATGATAGTTATCATCACACTCATCATCCTCATCATCACAATCATCATCCTCATAGTCATCATCCTGATCATCATCTCTTATGAGGCAGCGTTGGTAATGCAGACGATGCTACGATGAAAGCTATCACCGCAGTCATCATCCTTACCATCATACTCATCACCCTTATCATCCTCATCTCTTATGA